GAGGGTGAACATGAAGTTAATCCAGTCTTTACTGGTGTATGACGTGGTCTTTGGAGTCTTCCATTGGGATTTTTTGCTTTATTTTCTGATACTACATCAAACTTATCAAATTTTCACTGCCTCTTGGTATTGATCCTTCATTACGACCTCAAGAGCAACAAGAATCTTGGAAGAAGTTTCCACCATTCTTTGCATTTCCTACCTTTGACATATATGCACCCACACTTGATGAACTTATACATAAAATACAGGAGGTTTCTGCTGATAAGGTAGTAAAGTTGTTTGATTTTGCTAATATCATAGTATATGGACGTCCATTATGGAAGGCATTATTTGATGCAGGTATTCCAGGAAGGGAAATAGAAAGGTTTGCACAAGATAAACTTTTTACAGGAAATTACCATGCATATTCATATCACAAACTTTCATTTGAAGAGGTTCTATCACTTGTAGCATTCAAAATTTCAATCAATCTACATACAATTGATCAACATACTGCAACAAACATGGTTGCCAAGAATATGGGTATTTGTGTACATGTGAGTGATGATCAATCCAGACTTGGAGTAATGTGCCTCTCTGAACCAATCTTAGCAAATGCAGTAACAGAAATTCTTTTAAAAGATTCATTTCTAGAAAACACACTTGATATATTGGATAATGCAATGAAAAAGGGAATGTTTGATGGGAGTGTGTGTGGTGAACTTGTTGCACGATTTTTACTGACATTGGCAAAGGATGTGTTCTTGAATTCTGATATGGAAGCTGCAAAGATTACTACTACAAGCCCTTATTGTTGTCCAGTAACAGTTCATGACTATTTTATTTCAATGATAGGGGAAACAAATTGGAATAGGATATTTGGTAAAGAATCAACAAAGCCTATGCCACCTGAGATTGCTAATGGATGGATTTCAATGACTCATTTCATGTCAGTTGAGTCTGAATTTAAAACACCAAATGAATTGTTGAAATTTTGGTATCGTTGTGCAGCAATCATTCCAAGATGTATTCAACCAAATGTTGACTTGGTGATCCCAATTTTACCAACATCATTCTGGAAAAATGGCAAGATGTCATATATTTTAATACAGGTAAAAAATTATCAAAGTGATACTAGGGACAAATTTTGGCCTGCTTCAGCCACAAGTAAGCTTAAAGATTGGCTATTTTTCAAAAATCACAATGAAAGCAGTCTCTTGAACTATCCTCCTTATATAACATTGTTTATGGATCTTGGTAAGCCAAATGCAAACATTTTCCAACCTTGTTATGGCAAATCCACTTGTTCACAAAGCAATACTGTGCCACACCGCCAATATTATGCTGTAATTGATGGGCTTGATGTGAAAGTTTATCCCTTCTTACATATACTAGGTAACAAGGTAATTGACTCCCTGCAAAGTTTACGAAAATCTCACATGCCATTATTGGAACAAATTGATATAACATTACATCCTGCAAAGGAATATAATATAGCTTATGTGAAGAGACTTTTAATCTCAACAGGAATTTTATTGAATGAATAAGTAAAGATATATTGTTGTAAAAGTAGCTATATCAATTGATATTTTATAATTTTTATAATTCTACAAATTGTATCAAAAAAAATATATTATGGATACTGTGAGATAGTAAAATAAGGACCGACATAGAGGTCCCACGTTTCCGATCCAACAAACCAAATTGCTGTAGAAGTCACGTGATAATGAAATCATTTCTATTTTTATTTTTAATATTATATTTTGTGAAACTATTGCGCCACAGTTTGCGCAGTATCACACGTACAATTATTCATATTCATATTTCTATATTTATATTTCAAGAACCTATTCAGCTGATGTAAATATTTACTTTAAATTATTAATTATTATTTGTAATGCTCAGTTGACCCAAATATTTATTTTATTAATAAGCATAGTTTATTGGACAAACTAGAGCAAAAGTCATGTTATTTGTAAAACCCCAAGAGGTATAAAAAGACTTGGTTTTAGACCAAGTCAGAATCATGATGTTCATAACAATCTTTTAATTATTGATCTAGTAATTAATACTTCCTAACACATCTGTAATAATAATACTATTATCACTAATAAAACACAACATATTTTACCCTAAAATAATAAATCTCTAAATAATTAACAAACCAAAAGGGAAGCTTTTGCTGCACCTAGCAAGTAACCAGCATTCCAATCACTGAGAAACATCTCAAGGGGATGCCTTTGGGATATAAATACATACATAGAACCTAGGGAACCTTTTATCCAAAGGATAAAAGTTATATATAAATAAAGGAAATTGATCATAAGTCAGTGAGTAGGCTGTGTGTCAAACCATAGAATCAACCATAAGTCAGCGAGGAGGCTGTGTGTTGAGCTATAAATAACCTATGGTTGGCTCGGTCTAAAGACCTCCTATTGCTGCGCCACGCGCTCAAATTTCAAAAATTGTGATTTTGTGATTCAATAAAATTTTTTAAAAAAGGGTTACGCATGATTTTGGTTAAAAACTATTTTCCTTACTGCCAAATTTAGATATGATGGTCGAGTATCAGGCTAAATTTAGGAATGATAAACAAAAACTAGTCTAAATTTAGCAGTGATCATAGTGCTCAAATTTCTCATGAACATAGTAAAGTACATGTTTTAAAAAAGAATAGAACTCTACATTAAATAATTTTTTGGAGAAAATCTCTTCATTACATTAAAAGTAGAAACCTATTTTACCCAACTAATGAGGCTATTTTTTTAAAAGGTAGGACAGAAAATGATTTCTATACTTTTAAAATTTGCCCAAAATTTAGGAGGTCTTTAGGCCAAGCCAACTATATTAAATAGGAAACTCGGATTGCACACTTGCAATGCTGTATTTTGTGTTTGTTGTGTATTTTTGGAAAAAAGAATTATTTGAGGCAACCAAATCTGGAGGATGGAGAACCTCTTCTAGAATTTGAATGCAATAATTGAAATGATTGGTGTGGGCTTTTTTATTTGATAATTTAGGTATAATTTTTATTATATTTAAATTATTCAGATACATTGTATTAAATTTAAAATTTTTATATTAATAAATCATTTATTATTACAAAATTAAACAACAAAAATATTACAGCTGCCTGTGTCACATTAATGATTTCTTCTCATATATTATGCCAAACCTTCATCTTCTTTCATCTTCTCTTTTAACATCAAAGGTGGCAATATCCCATTGATAAACATTATACAAAATCAATATTTCAAGATAATACCATTACTCAAAAAACACTCAATATTTTTCTTAGAACAATTACTTTCATGTGATTGTTCAACCTTTCTCCCAATAAACATGTTATTTTATAGACTACCTCTTAGTAAATTTCATAGGCCTCCTAAATGGTACAATATACTTAAATCTCAATTCTGTCAACCACAAACAAATTTTTTAAACAATATATCAAATTTACCTCACACCAATCCATTCATTTTCCCTTCCTTATACACACCTCCAACTGACATGAGACACAAACCTATAATAGCATCCATAATAAACTCTGATCTCATAATAGCCAAGCGTATATCATCTACATTGTACAGACATTATATATTGAATAATACAAATACAGATATTAATACAATTTCACCATGCACAGGATGTCAAAGATCCATCTACTCAACAAATGCACCATGCACCATTACAAATATCTCAAACCAAATTTACCTTGCTTGCAAAAAATTACCATCATCAACATACCAACTTAGAATAAATATATCAGATATGAGATATCTAATGCAGCACATCAATAATACACCACCTGTCACAATTGATAATAATATATCCTTAAATGTATCACACTTAATAAATCACCAACTTATACAATCCACATTCACCTCCTCACCAATACAAAATATACTATTATCATATGCCAACAACAACCATTCCTCTCAATCATTGACATTCTACACTGATGGATCTTTATCAAAATTTGGTCAACAAGATATTAAATTATCTTGTGCCTGGATTCAATTAAAAAACGAAAATGTCAAACACTCTTTTTCTTGTTCATTGACATCCTTTCCCTCTTCAACAAGAGCAGAATTAATGGCAATTATGACTGCTCTTATAACTTGTCCACAATACTTTTTGGTGTCAATTTATACAGACAGTCAATCATCTATCCAACTATTTGACAATAACATCACACCTAACACTACTTGCAATAAGTTTAAAATCAAAAATTACTCTATAATATCCTCTATCCATCACATAAAAAAATCATTATCATTAAAAATATTTTTTCATAAAATTAAATCACATTCAGGCCAACAATATATTGATTATCCTTACATTCTTTCATAAAATTAAATTCAAACTCACAAGCAATAATTAAATGGCAAACACAACCTGCCTTGGTAAAGCAAACTCCATCAAACACACCTATCAATTGGTCATATACAGAATTTTGTCTAAAATCTCCCATTACTCAATGTTCACTGAAAATAATTCACACTTTTACCATGGCTCATTATACTCATTCAAGCTTGAAATTCTCCATAACACATTACCTACAATAAAAAACTTAATACGCAACTATCCAATGCTACTCCCACCAGCCGTTTTGAGTTTATATAAACTCAAAACGGCTTGGATTAGACTATAATGGACTCAGGTGTGATGTGTGTTTTGCGTTTGCCTCGTCATTCGAGTGACGTACGTTTTGCATTTGCCTCGTCAAAGATGAGACGTTTATAGTCTGCTTATCGGATGACGTACGTTTTGCATTTGCCTCATCAGAGATGAGACGTTTATAGTCTGCTCATCAGGTGACGTACGTTTTGCATTTGCCTCGTCATTCGAGTGACGTGCGTTTTGCATTTGCCTCGTCATTCGAGACTGTGGTTAATTTTCGTATATCAAATTGGTGATCATAACCAATTTCCGTTGCAATAAAATAACTGAGGTAGGTTATGCTACCGGGTAAGCCTCATCGCGAGTTTGATGGGTCAAATACATTTTATGCGTCATTTGATATCACATGCTGGCTTATCGTTCCCAACCGATTTCCGCATTTTCAGTCTCCGCCATGTAGCATTTGTGTCCATCGTCTACACGTGTGGACGGTCATCTATAAGTAGCACTCTAGGAAAATGCTTAATCTGAAGTTACCTACCCGAAAGCATACCCGAAAACATATCATGAAAACGGGTAGGTTTCTGCCATAATTCTTATAATATATTTCCGCACTTACCTACCCCAAAAACATATCGTCAAATGGGTAGCCATCTTCCATAATTATATATAATATTTCTGAAGTTAGCTACCCCGACCACATATATCCGAATACGTATCATCAAACAGTGAAGCCTTCTGCCATTTTTCTTATATATATTACGCAGTTAGCTTCACCTCACCATATACCTAAAGCATACCCAAAAACATATCGTCAGATGCGGTATATAACTTCATTTTTTCTTATGTGTCAAAGACACTAGCTCCGCTATATATTATTACCGCACTTACCTACCATGCTAAAGTGGTGTATTCTTCCATATATTATATATAATATTACTGAAGATTACACCACTCGATCACATACCCGAAATATATATGCTAAGGTGGTGTGTTCTTCCATTTTATATATAATATATTTCTGAAGATTACACCACAAAGTTTTCTTTATCTCTATCACATTCATTTACATTCTCGCTAAAATATTTGATACATATTTTTTACTATCACTTACCACCAACTGAAAAAATTAATTTAAACTTTTCCAAACTATATTGTAATAATATAATCGAACAAAGATTGATACATACCAATAAAAAAAACCAAATACCAAAAATGAGCAAACAAAACGCACAAGTGATCGGGTACGGGGGTGGGGAAACCAATGACTATTCAAGCGACTCAGATAAATATAGTGATAATATATCCGAATGTGAATCGGAAAATTGCAGTGATTATGGTTCTGACTATGAGTCAGATATTGAAACCACTATTATTAAATCTCCAGCAACCCATCCCCCTAATATAGAAAAACCAATGTCTAATTCGACAAATTCTACAGATCAAGTGAGCTCCATATATCTTGGTTCCGCCAAGACTGCTTTCACTAAGAGACAAGAAAAATTTGATGATAAATTTACCTCAAAAGATTTGCTAAATAAAATCCGTGAAATCGCTTCCTCACCTGTCAGAGATATGTTAGATAAAAAAGGTTCGCTAGAAGATATACATTTATGGGACTATCTCTTACATAATCGTGAAGCAAAGGGAGGAATTAGTCTGCTCGATGCATATACACGAGAGGAGTTGATAGATAAATTAGTTATACAGGTAGAGCAAGGTGAGTATAAAAAATTCTCAGTTATAGATGATATTTCCGAAGTATATGGTTTACCTGGGATACATGAATGTATTGATGGAGAACGACCACTAAGACCAGTGATTGATATCGACGCCTCTAGTGAAAAAATGAGATCAGAAAAGGTCAACACAAGAGATGTATTCATTCGTATTTGTTGTTCATTTATAAGAGCATTATATCGAA